CTCCTGCATTGTTCTTTTGACTGAGTATTGCCTTGGCTATTCGTGGCCTCTTGTGTTTCCATATAAATTTAACAGTAGATTTTTCGATCTCTTTAATGGACGTCATTGGAATTTTGATGGGAATTGCATTAAACATGTAGATTACTTTTGGGAGTATAGACATTTTTTTATATTTTTATAAAATAAGAAAAACCAAAAAAACAATTCTACCTTAAGAAGGCTGCCAGACACCCCCTTAAATATGCCATTTTCCAGCATTTCAAGCTCTGTGTCAATCTTCATTTCCTGTCTTTCTTCTCCTCCCCCAGCCCTACAGATACACACACACACACTCATGCACACTCTCTCCGGCCTGCTTCCTTCTGGGGTCAGTCCCGCTCTAGACATGGAAAGCAGCTGTGAGAGTTGGACCCAAACACACACAGCTGCTCCTGGTAGTATCCTTGCATTTCTGTGCTGGGAACCTAGCTCTATCCATGGAATATGAAGCCTGCAACCTAATTTAATCCATATAATGACAAGGGACACAAAGGGATATGACTTGGAGCACTAGAGGCTATAAGAAGGCCTGACCGGCATCCCCCAAGGCCCCTCTCCCACATCATTGCCGTGTTCACATACAAAGACACAAGCAAGGGCCAGTGGGTTCACTAGTATTTTTTCTCCAAGATGCAAGAGACCTGGTCCCTGGGCCAAGTGCTGCCACAGCTTGATGTGTGGGACCCGTGCTGCCTGCTTTACTTTTCTGAGTCTTGGCTGTTGTCTCATAGGAAGGTTTGGTATCTACCCTTAAAATTCTGAGTTTCTCTTTGTATCTGTGACATCCTTGGGCCATCGCAACCCCAGCTTCTTTGTCTTCACCGAAACAGGTGAGCTTGAGATAAGTGGTGTGCACATTCCTGCAATGTGAACATAAGGAGATATACCTTCTATCGGGGCTTCCCAGCCCAGCTCAGATAAATTGCTAGGAACTGTAGCTTTCCTGTTCTTTCTCTCCCACCTAGAGGCTCTCCCAAGGTCAAGGTCACATCCGGGTGGAGGGAGGTTTTTAGGCATCTGGCCTGGAAAAGCCATTCCAAAGAGCCAGATGTGTCCTACGGAATACATGGAGACATTGCAACCCAGACTTGGGGACACTGGCCAGCAATAGCTAGACCAGGAAGCAAGCTCCAGTAGATACGGGTGAATGTGCAACCCTCCGGGAAAGGGGAAGAAAACATGTTTTAAGAAGTCACTGAGCTGGGTACCAGTGGCTCACGCTTGTAATCCTAGCTACTAAGGAGGCAAAGATTAGGAGGACTGAGGTTCAAAGCCAGCCCGGGAAAATAGTTTGTGAGATCTTATCTCAAAAAAACCCATCATATAAAGGAGCTAGTGGAGTAGCTCAAGGTGTAGGCCCTGAGTTCAAATCCCAGTACCACAAAAAAAAAGTGACCAAGTCACCAAAAATTAAGTCACCCCTGTCATTTGCCTTCAGCTTTTGTTTATAAGCTTTTGGTTTTATTTTGTTTTGTTTTTGCTTTGCCATACCAATGGTTTTAATTTTATCCAGTCATGTGCTTTAGGTTTTCCTTTATGGTTTCTGCTTTTGGAACCCCACTCAGAAAGGCTCTCTGAACCTCCACAATTATGTAAATACTCACAAGTCTCTTTTATTTTGCTGTGTGGTGTAAGGCCAGGCCTCACTTATTTTTCTCAACTGGATAATCAGTTGTCCTTGAGTCACTGAATAATCCATCCTTGCCCCCTGGATTTGAAATGTTATCTTTAAGCCTATTTTATGGACTTACTTTGTGAACTCAATCCATCTGCTGTTCCTACACTACTGACAACAGCCTCCATGGTCAGTCAGCCTAATTTACACACTCTTCCTACTTGGTCTCAAGGTGTCTGTCCTCCCAGATATATCTTAAACACTACTCTATCCCTTCATCTTACAGAAGAGAAAAAAATTAAGCTCCAAGGAAGGGACTTGTCCAAGGTACCATGGATTAGGACTCTTCCTGTGAGATCTCTTCCCTCTCTGATAACACTTCCCTTTCCTGTGGGACATGTAACTCTGTACCCCAAACTCAGCCCTTCTCATTTCTTATCTCTAGATTCCCCTCAACTGACTGTAAAGAACCAGACCATTGCAAAGCCTACCTTTTGGGCAACCCAAAATTAGAGAAATCTAATCCCAGGGACCCATGTTTGTCTGACTTTACAGAGAATGAAGGCCCAGGCCAATAGCAATAAAGCCAGGCAGACATAGCCAGAGGGGGAGAAGTGGTGTTCTGAGCATCTTCCCATCAACCCTCAGCTCTGGTTCTCTCTGGAGTAGTGGATTGTCAAGTGTCTGGCAGAGCATGGTAGAGACATGCTGGGCTGGGCAAGGCTAGATGGAAAGCAGGGCCTGGGAGTAAAGGGTGAAGTCAGGCATCAGGGCTGTAATGATGGTGTGGACCACTCCTCCCACAGATACCTAGGCAAAGAGGGCTGGGCACCAGCATCCTATCTGAAGAAAGCCAAAGATGACCTGCCAACCCGGAAGAAGAACCTAGCAGGCCCTGTGGAGATCATTGGCAACATCATGGAGATCAGCAACCTGCTGAACAAGAAGGCATCTGGGGACAAGGAGACTCCACCGGCTGAAGGCGAAGGCTCTGAGGCCCCTATTGCCAAAAAGGAGATCAGCCTGCCCATCCTCTGCAACGCCTCCAACGGCAATGCCCTGGGCATCCCTGAGAGGACTGTGTCCAAGCTGGCCCAGGGCTCGCCAGCTGTGGCCAGAATTGCCCCGCAGAGGGCCCAGATCAGTAAGCACCTCACTGATTTCTGGATCTTCACCACAGAATTCTTAACAGGGCAGGATGGTGTGGGAGGAAAGCCGGAGGGTGTTCGGGAC